AGCCAGAAGAGAGTGAGTGGTAGAGGAGAGAGAGAGAGAGAGAGAGAGAGAGAGACTAATATAATAATATTTCTTGTGTTAAAATATTTCTCTTTAAAACTTGCAGTGAATTTATTATAAAAGTCGAGATCATGACTGACCCCACAATTACTTATACCTGCGCTCCACACCAAAGGCATCATAACTACAGTCTAAGAACAGCCGCGCATACGTTCAGACCCCTCACCCAAAACACTATTACTTCTCAAATCTTACATTAAAATGCAATTTTAAAATTCTTGTTTCGTCTAAAAAAGCTCTTTTGAAATCCTTTTTATGATTTAATACACAAAAAGAGTTTATTATATAAAACAACTCAATCTTTTGGAAATAACTCTATAATTTGGAAATATGTCAACAAATAATCCCCACCAAAAAAAGTTACACTAATTCTCAAATCGATAATAAAATTATATGAAATATACAGCGAATGAATGAATGAATAAATTATCTGATAAGAAGATGAGATAATTGAAACACATATACAATAATTGTTCAATAATTGATGTGATTATGACTGATATTCATGGACTCATGTAATCATAATAATAGCCTTACAAATAGGGAAGTGAGTGACAAATAAAACAAAAATTATGCTAAACTATACTGTAATTTGCTTTCATAACAACAGCAATAAACCCTTTAATAAACACAAAAGGGGGCACAAAATCCCATATAAATTAAAATCTAAACTCAGATTTTAAACAAATCTATAGAAAGATAGGAAAAAAGTTAATTAAAAATTCTATCCTATTTCGCAAATTTCATTATACAAAGTCATTATCCATTGTTTGCGGCCTAATAGCTGAAAACGGCTTCGACTGTATTTATTGTCGGCATATATAGCCGGGGTTTGGGCCCATTATAGAGCTTTTCCCTAAAATTAATAGACAAATATTTAACAAACGATTGTATCAAAAATAATTATTGCCTCAAAAAACAACACATAGCCTCTCATACCGTAGCCATAATCGACACAATGTTTTATAAATTATTTCTGATTAAAAAGATATCTTAGTTTTTTAATTCTCGTATAAATATATTTTCCACAAATATTTCCATTCTTTTGGTGTCAGATATTTCTGAATGTGTTTTGAATAAAAAATAACTAAAAAATATGAATATTTTATGCGAGAATAACTCCTTTTTTATATGCAGTCATTTATAAATCTATTATTGAACTAAACGTTTTTCTCCTTATTTTTTGTTAGCAAAACAATGGGTTTTTGCAAATTATGTAAAATATTAGTTAAACAGAGAAATAACACACAAACAAAAAAGTTTTGGCACTCTATTAGTCAATAGATTCAGTGATTTATTAATCAAATTATGGGAGAAAATGCAAATAATTAATGATTGGATGATTAACTTACGCGAACTCCTCTTACAACACACTTTGAATACGACTTTCATGTGATGGGAATTACATCTTCCGGGCGACTGAGACGGTGTGTTCGACAGTGATATAAAGTAATAGTCCTGTCCGGGCCTGAACTCGAGGCCACCCGGTTGTGGTGTAAATGGTCTGAACGTTACGGTATAGTATCGGTTCAAATATGGCTTATCACAGACAGCGATGGTTCGGGCGGTCATCGCGTTCGTCACACGACACGTGTCGTACTCCTCCTTTGATACCTATAAAGACAATGCAATCGATGCCAACATTTATTCAATTATTCATAAAAAAAGAGTAACAGAAAAGAGACAAAACAACAAAAAGTGAACTCAAATTACAAATTCAAATGAATTGCAAATTACAGTTCACTTCGCCATTCATTCGCATCAATTGATTCACACTTTATATTTAAGTCAAAAAACTTTTTTACTTTTTGTTCTGTTTCTGTGCCTTTCAATTGATTTCGAGTTTGAGATTTGAAATCAATATTTATTATAAGAAGTGATGAATCAATCAATTTGAAGGAACGCTCGCATGAAATGGCTTTTAGGCGAGCAATACATAGATAGGGAGAGACAGAAGAGATAGGTTTGAAAGATAATGAGACTTACATTATATATAATAAAGGTCTCGATGTCGTCCTCTCGAGTGCCTTTTGAATACATGGGACAAACAATGTTCACCTGATCGTACTCGTAGGCAACGTTACCCCGATTCACATCTATTATGTGATCCGTGTTATCGATCCGGAATCTGGTGGACAAAACACATTCGAGTTAATATCAACACAAAGAATACCATATAATTAAATCTAATTATAATATAAAAATATAAAAAATCATTTGCATATAAATTGCACTTTTATATCGCGTCCAAAGCCTACGATAAAAAAGAGCGAAAAAATTGTTTGTCATTCATGTGAAAAACTATTGGTCTTTAATTTAAAAAAACTCCTTAAATGAGAAAATATATACAATTTAATAAACACACACTCAAGACATGACATGAAAGTCATTCACCAAAAAACACATAATAATATTCCAACCGAAAAAATAATTAATTAATTTTTATATATATATTCTCATCGTTTTGTGTGGGGAAATGATTTTCAAAACATTTCCACTGTTTATGTTTTCAGTGCCTTTTCCTTGAGATTTGAGGCTAAAAATTGACGGATATTTTTGCGGTTATAAATGCCTGTATTTTTAATAATGTATTCTCGATGTGTGTTATAAATGTTTTTTTTTCGTAATCACAAGAGTTGTATAGAAAAGGTAAAGAAGACAACAAAATAAGAGATGATTTTCCGAACAAAATTCAAAATATAAATTGAAATTAAAATAAATGAATTCCGAGAGTTTGGTTTTAGTTTTTTCTTAATTTACTTAAACATTAGTTGTGTTTTGAGTGTAGTTTAAAGCGCTGTAAAAGCAGTGTTTAAATGATGTTTGAGCGGCGGTAGAGAGAGAGAGAGAGAGAGGAAATTATAAATATTAAGTGCAATAAATAACGATTAACGTAATGCAAAAGACCACAAATAATCATCAATTTTACACAATATTTAATAATCGGAATGCATTGCAAACATTTCGATGGTTTGACTTGTTTTCTGGTATTTAATTCTCAAACGTTTGGTTTTTTCATTTCACGGCTCAAATGAGGAGCCATTGAGGGTTTGGTTTGGTTTTGCATTCAATGAAATCAAATGAAGTGATAGTAAAGACAGAGATTATACTGTATATGAAATGGCAATTAATTGATGGCTCACAATAAGATGGCACAAATGGTTTGGCAATAATGATGGTCATCATCATTAAGAAGAGGTGCAAAGTTCAGCGCTCTTGCAATCACTTTCGTTTAGGAGCAATATATGGGCGGACACTCCAGGCCTGCAATGCCTCCCAAAGCATCACATTATTATAGATTGAGAGCTGTTTTATAATTTTATAATAAAAAACACTTTTTGCCGACCAGTTCTGTGATATGCCATTAGTTTTCATATGCCTTCACAAATGCCATCATTTTCGCTGCTCCTTCTCACAGCTCTCTCTCTCTCTCTCTCTCTACCGCCGCTCAAACATCATTTAAACACTGCTTTTACAGCGCTTTAAACTACACTCAAAACACAACTAATGTTTAAGTAAATTAAGAAAAAACTAAAACCAAATATAAATCTTATAAAACACTAAATTATATGAAAGAATTAAAAAGAAGAAACAGTTTTTCGCAAACTTTCAATTATAAGTTACAATGAATTTATAATTTAAAACCAAAAATTAATGCTTTACTATAATTAGTATTTGAATTGACATTCAATTAAATATCAATTGAATGAATAAAGAGAGGGAACGAAACCCCAAAAACGAGATGTCTATTCATAACATCATAAACGATATGAATGTATTGATTGCCATCAGATGTATGTATAAGTTATGTAAGAATAGCCAATAAAAGCAAAACAAATAATTTGATTATTGCATTGCATTAGATGTTTAAATGTGTCACAAATTGATAGATCAAACAAGTGATTACAATCTCGATTGCCTTTCCATGTTATTCACTGGTTGTAATTGTTTGGCAAACAATCTCTCCAACAGTGCAGATACAGTACATCTATAGACAAATCAGAAGAATTTATCTAAAAATTTCTCTCTCCTCTGAAACAACAACAACACAACAAATCAGACATAAAAAAGAGATTATTTATACATTCGCCTAAAGTTTTGTCTGATAGTAGAGAAGAGAAGGCAATCAAAAGTGTTTTCTCATCGTTTATATGACGCGTGAGTCGAGACTTCTTTGTGAGAGAGAAATACACCGAAAGAAAAAACAGTTTGCATAACAAACCCCTGTATGTTATGGTGTGTTTTGGGCCCAAACCCCGGCATATAAACAAAAATATGCGGCTCTGGTATAGAGATGCCGAGACCTGACTGACCCATCCCTAACCACCCAAACATACACACCATCGCAACAGCAACTCTGCCCCTAAAAAGCACTGCCAGTGTTGGAAGAAAATGTTTTTTAACTCATATTTTAATTTATTAGCGGATCATAAGATGAGATAATGAATCAAAATATATGAACACAAAAAATCTCATCAATGAATGAATGGGAAACTCATTTAACGCCTAAATATCGCCTAAATATACACTATTTAACCTTCAAATGGGTTAATATACAGATCGGGTGTTAATTTTTTGTTTCGGGGTTTGGTATATGAATACAGTGTCCAAACATGAGATGCATTCAGAATAAGAGTTATATACATAATATGGCACTTATTTTAATAACAGTCATGTAATTTGATTCACACGTTTAGTACTTACGGCAGAGTTATTAATAGAGAGACAGCGCTTCCATCAGACCATCAGATGATAGAGTCGAGTGAAAGAGAGAAATGTTTGGCTCATAAAATGGATGAAAGACTTTGCATTGAGTAGAGAATGAAAATATTCTAATGGTTTCAAATTGCAGTCAAATGAATATGTTTTAGAAAATGCTTGTCGTCTCTAATGGAATGCTATGAGAGTTACACAAGAGATGTGAATGAATGGGAGGGAAGAGAGTAATGAAAAAGACTTGATATATACCCACAATTGAGATGTGATTCGAGAAATGGAGAAATGTTGCAAAAGTACTCGCAAAGCATCTCTCTCTCTCTCTCTCTCTCTCTCTCTCTCTCTCCTAATCTTCTAGACGTTAAGATATCTTTTCGTCTTATTTTTATGCAGAAAATCGATTTCCAAACACTAATTAATTTCAAATTAGTGTTGAAAGTTGTATTCAGACGTTTCATTAGGGTTTTTCTAAAGTTGGCTTACATTTGCATTCTTTATAACTACATTTGCAGTGACTCTTAAATTATGCGAATACCTGGAAATAACAATCTAAACATCTATTTTGTTTTGTTTATATAATTTCTTATCAGCACTCAATAAATCAATTATGCAATATATTGACGAATAAATTAGATATTTATTATTTAACACTAAAAACTAAAAACACGAGAGAAAAATCAATGCTTGTATAAATGTTTGTAAAATAATAACACCTTTACTACATGTTATTTCATAAATACCTTTCACAGTTTATTTTATAAAACAAAATATTGGTTTATTTTAAATTGATAAAGGGCACTTACCTTTAATTAACTCTCACTTATCACAAGAATTTTACTAATAAGCATTTGAAGTACTTTGAAGTAATTTACTCAATAGTTATATGTTATATCCGTAAACTTGGTTAAATAAATAATGTGATTGTATTGAAATATTAACAACCAATACAATCTACACTTATATTATTTATTATATAATATAATATCAAAGTTTATTCCTATTATTTTATCCAATTTTCTCCTAATATTTCACTTTAAGTTTATTTTTTGTGTGCATTAATAATGTATGACAATAATCACCACTCGATCCCATAATAATAGAGCCATACATTTGGTCAAAGAAAATATTTATTTTGACGTTATATTTATTAATGAATTTGTTTTTGCATAAAATATTAGCAAAAATATATCATTATTTTTAGAGACAATAAATTTAAATATACTATTTTTTATAATAAATTATTGAATACAATCGTAACAATTCACACACAAAACAATATTAATAATACATATAACATATGAAAAACAATATAATGACAGGTAAATTGAATTTTGAAAAATAATATTTCAAATGTATTTTCAATTTCCTGGCAAATAATAAATTTGACTCTAATTTCATGGGAATAATAATTATATCCTATTATTAATATATTGTTATATTTTTGATAGTAATTTATTACTCGTATAAAAATCAAGCACCACTTTCTAACAACACATTATGGATTGAGATATACTGTGTATATAATATAAGTATGTTTTCATTGCTTCATTTTGTTACACAAACTACTAATAGAAAACACATTGACTATAAAGGAGTGATTGGAGAACTGGTAGAGCACTGATAGAGCACTAGAACACAGAATGACTGTCCAATAAATCAAAGAATATAACGCTTCAATTGAGAGCCTGTCTAACCGTCTAAACCAAAAACCACTGAAAAGGACTGCATTTCAAACTTCATTCATGTATTCGTTTAACTCATACAATGTTTTGGCCTTTTTATATAAATTTATTATATCATATGATTAGGTATCGCATCTCTTTGTATGATATAATAACCATATATCCGATATAATCAATAAAACCTGACTCTCTCTCTCTCTCTCTCTCTCTCTCTCTCTCTTAGTCTTTCATCCATTTTATGAGCCAAACATTTCTCTCTTTCACTCGACTCTATCATCTGATGGTCTGATGGAAGCGCTGTCTCTCTATTAATAACTCTGCCGTAAGTACTAAACGTGTGAATCAAATGAAGCAAAAATTGCATTTTCAAAAATAATAAATAAATATAAACACTTAGATATTGCCATACAATTGAAAATTTGCATTTAAGTGACTCCTCTTTTGATTCTCTTTCCATGAAAATCCAATTGACAAACAATTTCTTTAATTCTATAATAAATGAGTTTTAGATTTCCTGTAAAGAGTGAGTCTATAGATGGGGAGGGATTGGGACGAGGATTGAAGGGATGGATAGGGAAAGGAAATCAATCAGATTAAAGCATTTGTGCAGCTCTTATGTTATGTTATATTCTGTCGTTCTCTCTGTTGTATTCCGTGTCTCTGCAACTCATGTCATACCATCACAACAGTTAACAACAAATATATAAATCAATTGAAAGCTAAAACACAACTGAAAACTGCGACAATATTTCCAGTGAATGCCGAATGAGAGGAAGATTTATCGATTATTTTTCATCGCAAAGTCTTTATGCCATTATATATTGAAAACTTCAATCATTTTCATTCCTATCCAACACTTCAATACATATTACTGTAATATGTTTTCAATTGTCTTATAAATAAAATATGTATTTTCATTTCACTCGCAATTGAAACACAACATATAATTATGCAAATAAATAATAGAGAAATTAATAAGTAATTGCCATTTAATACCAACTAATAATACATTTCATTTCCTATATTAATTGAAAAACAGATAATTCATTGATTTTATCATATAATGTATTATGTAATCCATTAAATGTTTTGGTCAACAACAACAACAACTAATTGTATTAAAATTAAGTTTTATTATTATATTATACATCAAACAAACACTAATTTCATTAGTAATCTGTTGAGACAAACGCGACGTTTAGTCGATTGAATTATTATTAGATTTACTCAACACTACATTCAACTGAATATAGGATTAAAAGGATTTCTGGTCCGATCTTATTATCTAGAAATCACTTCAAACTAATAAATAATAAATAAAAGACAAAAATAAAGACCAAAACTATAAACCAAATGAACGCATAAATTGCAAGATTTGGTGAAGAAATGATTAATACATTCCTGACTCTAATCTAATATTCAAAAGCGAGAGAAACAATAAAAAGGGTTTTCGGTGGGGAGAGAGAGAGAGAGAGAGAGAGAGAGAGAGATGTGTTAATTTTTTGTTTCGGGGTTTGGTATATGAATACAGTGTCCAAACATGAGATGCATTCAGAATAAGAGTTATATACATAATATGGCACTTATTTTAATAACAGTCATGTAATTTGATTCACACTATTCTTTCACATCAAAACGAGAGAGAGAGAGAGAGAGAGAGAGAGAGAGACTGGAAAAGATTGAGTTAATGGACAGGACTTACGTATACAACACATGATATATAAAAATGTTTATTACGTGATTGGAAAACAAGTTTTTGCAGTAAATATAATGTGAGTGAATAGTGTATAAGTAAATAGTTTTTTACTAATTTAGGAAATAAGTCCTCCGAAAAGGCATAGAAATGTCATATTATTGAGAAATATTTAAATTAGATTAAAGACTAACTGAGAAGTTATGCAAAAAACAATAAATGTATGGAAGAGAAGGCGAATGCAGTAAATGAGAAGGCGATGAATGAAATGGAGGCAAAAATTATAATTTCATGTCTTATATAAGAGACAACACATGAATGTCGAGTCAAATGGAGAGACAAACAGTGAGAGAAGAGATAACAAAAATGTCGTTTTATATCAATAATAGCGTATATAATAATAGAGAGAGGGATGAGATAACATGATATGGCGTTTGCGAGTCATGTATAGCTCTCTCTACATCACTATCTCTCTGCCATTCTCTCTGAAAAGCTATAATCCAAACGTAATCTTCATTGAGGCGTCCAATTAAGTGACACAACGAACGCTAATTTAATCGAAATCTGCTTATAGTGTGTCATATATTCAAAAATTTGAGTCAATATACGAATACTGCAGACATTTATACCGCAGAAGAAAATATTTTTCCACTGGAGTCGAGATTTTCATACGTTTATGAAATAAAATCAATATATGTTTGGGCAAAGAGTGAGAGTACAGTACTATTAAGGACTGTGTGTATGGTATGTGTGTCTCTCTCAACGACACAATACTTACACCAGTATTACTCACACAACACAAGAGGCAGATGTAGGTTAGGATCTATGAGCGCAAAGAAAAATCATTTTCTCCATCATATATACCGATGACTGACTCAATGATAATTCCATAGATTTCACAGAGATTTGCCGTCAGATTATTTAAATCGCAAAATACACGGAATTGTGTTTTACAACAACTGTTTTGCTGTTTCGCTCGTCTCGTATATAGCGTTATATAAATGGTATATAAAACCGATGGCAAAGACAAGTCAATCGTATGGCGTAAGACATCACTGAAATACCAATTTATTATAATTCAAGCGCTTATTCCAGGAAATAGTAGTTTAAATAGATTTCATATTTTATTTTTCATTCATTTGTAAAAATCTATTCATTCAATCGTATGCTTGAAATTTCCATTCCGTATAAGAGTTTTGGAGATTTTATTCAATCAATCCTCTCGTATGACATAATTATCATTAAATGCCAACATTTATAACAAATTAATGCCAAAACACAACATAAGAATTGATTGTTTTCTAACGAAATAATTAAAATCTAAAGTAGAGTACAAAAGTGTAGGAAATATAAAACTGGAGAAATGGTGTCAATCATTCACTTTTCATCTCGTAATACAAATTTATTGTAATAATAATAATAATAATATAATAATCTCTGCAATCATTTGGTTTTGCAAAATAGGAGAGCATTTCGTAATAAATGAATTAATTAATTATTTTATGTTAAAAAATACAAAAAACACTTTTCTTACAGAAGAGAAAAAAATATTTGGGAGAAAATTAAGACAAAAAACTTGAGGAAAATTGAGAAACAAAAAGAAATGTTGAAATTTGTTAATAAAGTCATTGATAAATATGTTTAAAGTATAGAACGGATGAGAATATAAGAGACGGGTATTGATGTCTATAAGAAAGAGAACCCGTTTATAATGAATTGGTTGGAAATGCTTTACCAGAAAAACAATCACATTCTTTGTTTGGCTCGGGATCTGTCAACAGAGATCTCGCAGTTATATATATATAAATACATCCCATAATGAATGCCGGATATAACCAACCAATACAACAAACGCAAAGAATCCGCTCGTTTTTTGAGGCACTTTTGCCATCGTTTTTAGTTAAGTTTCGCGAACCGAAAATGGGGTCGACTTCAGACTCTCTCTCTCTCTCTTCACTCGACAACTCATTCATTCATTTTACTGAACAATTGTTAGACACAAAAAACAGACAAAAAATAATGAAATTGAAAAACTGGAGAAATAAATGAAAGAAAAAATTTGTCACAAATGGGAATACAATCGTTAAAATAGGTTTCATGTTATATAACAGAGAAAAATGTCTTTCCGGTCATTCGGGCACAACATCTATATATTATGTCTAATGCTATATAATATGTGCGCCAAATGGAGGCACAAAAATATGTAATTATATAATAATTAATGAATTGTTGACTATTTATACGGCAAAAGTAAACTTCAACTGAAAAATCTGTCGATCGGAAAGCTATAGTCTACAGATTGGGTGCGAATAAAGCCATTATTAGTGTTTGGAGTGGTTTTGTGTTATAATAAACTATTTAATAGATTTGATTGTAATATACTGTTGTAAACATCCATCTCTTGAGGCGTGTCTTTACAAATATAACTGTCGATTGCAATGCATTTTCGTATTAAACAAGGATTTATATATTTGAGAGTAAAAACGAAATTTATAATTGAATTGAGAAAACAAAAAACAGCATTAAAAGCAAGAATAAAAGCAAAAATTGCTATATAATATGTGCGCCAAATGGAGGCACAAAAATATGTAATTATATAATAATTAATGAATTGTTGACTATTTATACGGCAAAAGTAAACTTCAACTGAAAAATCTGTCGATCGGAAAGCTATAGATTGGGTGCGAATAAAGCCATTATTAGTGTTTGGAGTGGTTTTGTGTTATAATAAACTATTTAATAGATTTGATTGTAATATACTGTTGTAAACATCCATCTCTTAAGGCGTGTCTTTACAAATACAGTATTGGATCATTTGGGTGAAGTACCATTTGTGTGAACTGACCATTTGTATGAACCAAACCCTGAAACCAAAACCCACACTGCATAGACATAATGTTAAAAAAGTACCATTTGTGTGAACGTCCTCTGTGTGAACGGATCATTTGTGTGAACAATTTAGAGCTATTATTATACAACATTCAATGCATTTTAGGATCAGTTGAGTGAACTAAATATTTTTGCCATTTGAATGACAACTCATTTAATGAACAATTGAATAAAATGCTAACACAATTGTTTAAAACTTCATTTAAATCATTAAAACAACAGAAAATTACAGACTATTTCTCATATAACAATTTAAATGTGTAATTTTGAATATTATAGGAAAAATAGATGTTATTAATCACATTTTTAGCAGGATCATTTGTATGAATGGATCATTTGTGTGAACCAAATGCTAAAACCCGATCACTTCACCCAAATGATCTTTTACTGTATAACTGTCGATTGCAATGCATTTTCGTATTAAACAAGGATTTATATATTTGAGAGTAAAAACGAAATTTATAATTGAATTGAGAAAACAAAAAACAGCATTAAAAGCAAGAATAAAAGCAAAAATNATTTATAATTGAATTGAGAAAACAAAAAACAGCATTAAAAGCAAGAATAAAAGCAAAAATGTTTAATGAAAAAACAAATATATTATAAGGTTTGGGTGTTAACTATTTTGCAGCAACTTTTGAATTATAGAAAAAACACATTTTTATATATTGATTGCAAACACCAAAAAGTCATTACAGTATAAAACAAAATTAAACACAAAATTAATTATATTTTTTAAAGTAAAACCAATGTTTGCATTAAACGAATATTTATTCATATATTTTTGGCAAATGCTATCAAGAATTTGTGACAATAATAAAAAACAAATGAAAACTCAATTGAGATCTCATTTAAAATGCAATTATTTTCATATCACAGGCGATAGAGAAAAAGAAATAAAATAATTCCTACTTTTATGTTATATTCAACAAAATTAAGTCAATATTTAGACCAAAACTGATGCAAACATTCATTTGTATATTTTTCTCATATATTTGGCAAAAATTGTTTAACTTTATCCCCAAATAAATACATAACGAAAAAATCATAAAAAAGTTAATTACAAAAAATATTTTCTAATTTACTCAATCAGTATATCATTGAAACGAACAGATATTTTCTTAAATTAATTATAAATAATAATATTTTCAAAAACATTCAAACCATTTAAACGGCAAATGGCTTTTGGGCTCTAATACTGTATAATAACGTGTTTTTTCAGTCACTTCTGAATTCAATTATGATATTTTCGTGTAAAAAATATTTATCAAAATTTCCAAAAAACACAACAAAAAACCAAAACCCAAAAACACAACAAACAAAAAGTTAATTATTGTTTAGTGTTTGCATATAATGTTTGTTAAATGGGTTTCAAATGAACGTTGAATTGTGTTTTAATGGCAAACACAACAACACCTAAACAGAAATCAAATCAAAATCAAATGCAATCCCAAAACCAATACCTCTCTCGCTATTAAGCGCTTAACCAAACATTAGATGTTAATTGAATTGTGAATAAAACACAACCAAAATAAATGTCACACAAAAAGAGTGAGGCGTTGGAAGTGAGAAACGAGTGGACATTCATTTGATTTGCACGACAAACAAAGACACACCAAATGAATGCATGCCATAAATGGACACATTTTTGGGTCCATTAATACATTAATAGTAATAAGATTTGAATCAATGAATGGTTACATACATTGGATTCGAAGAATTCCAATAAATGTCTGGCAATCGGGCGGACAGTGAGCCCGAGATTAGTGTCAATACTATTGTCAGCGTATATACAGTGAGCGCACACACAGTCAGCGCCGACATCCACGGCAATGGCCGCCGACCGCAACACATGCTCGCCGTCATCGGTGGTGCACTTCCAGCCGAAGCCGACAACGACTACAACTATAGTAATAACAAATGTTTAACAAAAGCATCGTTTGATTGAGTCGTTTGACACAACTTGTTGATCGGCTCTTCGGCTCAATAACACTATGTGTTTGTCTTAAGTCTAATAAACAATAAAACAAATAAAAAACACTAAAGTTTTTCGGCCAACAAAACGGATGACCGGAACCGACGGTCGGCTAAACTAATCCGTCCGGCGATGTCTTCACGAGTTGTCTCGCGTTGTCTGACGTAATGTTTGATTCATTTTTCTCTTTGGCTCTCATTTTGGGTGTAAATGAAAGAAAGCCAAACAAATTGTACGTATAGTTTAGCACATCATGTGTTGTGTCCGTACATCCGCTATATTGTGACCATCGATGGTGTGAAGCGATGATAATCACCAAAACATATGACACAAGTAGAGAGAGAAAGAGTGAATCGTTTGAGCGATTTATTAATGATTATTGTTTTGATATTTAAACACAACATTGAGTGGCAATGAATGCCAATAGCATTGAGTGCTGAGAACACAAACAACACAAAAGATTATGGCATTAATGCTGTGAATGAATGCAAACGTAATGCAAAGCACAACCAAATGCTCGCCAATAGTAATGCCATTCAGAGAGTGGACTGTATTGGGAGAGCGCTGGCAGTGCTGTCAAACACTACAGTGTAGTCACTGTATTGACTGCACCAACAAATGCAAACACACCGCGAACTCCCATTGGCTCATAGTTTGGCTGCCATTTCGCAACACATCTGTACTGCAAACCAAAACACACAATACAATCAACAATTGCCACTCAAATACAGTGCTAACCCTACACATGGGTTTCGGTACTATTTTATATATCATACGCTATAGTGAACTATACAAACAAAAGGGCACATAATTGCGCACACGTTTACACATTCCAATAGGACTGACAGCTGAACAGAGCACACAAAGCCTGGGAATCGATGGCAACGCCCTCTCAATGGCTGGAATGCAACCAAAAGGGGAACACAAAGTGTCAAAACTTTTTCATCTCATTTACATGGATATAGAGATAGCGTGGGAGCGGTTGTGCGCACGCGTGCGGTCAGACCTGTCAGCCAATGGGAGCGTTTGATGTGTGCTTTTTGAATGCAATTGTGCTGTTTTGCCGCCATTAGTGCCATTGAAAGCGCGACTATTATAACAAAAAAATGCAATCAATTATTATATGATTTTTATATTACAATCATTTGTTTAGTTTTAATCATAATTTATACATAATTTTTATATATATTCTCTTATATCATGTATTGAGTGATCAATTTTTAACAGTGATTTCAATTGTGAATCCAATCGCTAACCCAATCATTACAACCACAACATTGACGGTGTGTTTGAGGTATGAATGCATTGTTGAGACACAACACAGACTGAAGTCTCGACCGATTGTGTCAT